TTACATCCTGTTCTTGTGACTGGCGTATGAGCACGTTGACGATCAACAGTATTGACTTTTGATACTCGAAACCCTTCTTTGGAACAACAAAATTCTTGTGTCTTCACATTCCCTTCCACGTCAAGCCGTGTTGTTCCCTTACGTGCACTAAACCCATGTTCCCGTGCGAATCCCTTGTAAAAGTGCCAAGCTTGATCACGTGAACAGAAGAGCTGACCAACCAATCTGTCAGATTCATCAACATTATGTACTTCATGGCATTCCTCGGTTGGCTTAACATTGTCTATATCAGTATTATCCATGGCAAAAATTTTGTTGTGCAAGTTCAGTGCTCCAGGAGTTGATGGATATGTAAACGAAGGTTCATTTTGAACATGTTTCTGTAGTTAAAGGGTGGGTACAACATTAAATTCGCAGTACATATTTAGGTATGTACAATAACTACAAGTATATTATCATTTTAAATTCGCAGTACACTGTTAAAAAAATTGAAACATAAATTACATAAGATGTAATAGGTAGCCCTTATATAATGTAATAGGTATCGTTTATATAATGTAATAGGTAATGGTTATATTGTAAAGTGTCTATCCTTTTTATAAAAGTGTCCATACTTTTTTCACTGTGGAAAACATTAATTTAAGGTTATCTTTTGAGTGAGTTTTAAGATATTAATTTAGTAATTATAGGCGTCTAATGATTTATTTTTTACGTTACGGTATATATTATTATTAAATTAAAAATTCTAAATAATATTTTATAAAATATCAAAACAATCAAATAATTTTTTGTGCAAATGAAATTATTAAATCAATATTGTAGGTGGAAAACATGAAACACTGTTAAAAAAATTGAAACATAAATTACATAAGTTTTAAAAAAAAGTATCGATCCTTTTTATAAAAAGTATGGACACTTTCAATATAATAGGTAAACATATGATGTAATAGGTAGCCCTTATATAATGTAATAGGTATCGTTTATATAATGTAATAGGTAATGGTTATATTGTAAAGTGTCTATCCTTTTTATAAAAGTGTCCATACTTTTTCACTGTGGAAAACATTAATTTAAGGTTATCTTTTGAGTGAGTTTTAAGATATTAATTTAGTAATTATAGGCGTCTAATGATTTATTTTTTACGTTACGGTATATATTATTATTAAATTAAAAATTCTAAATAATATTTTATAAAATATCAAAACAATCAAATAATTTTTTGTGCAAATGAAATTATTAAATCAATATTGTAGGTGGAAAACATGAAACACTGTTAAAGTATCGATCCTTTTTATAAAAAGTATGGACACTTTCAATATAATATAATGTAATAGGTAAATTTGCAATGCTATCGGTATAAATATACTGGTTTACTTATAAAATAGGTAAATATAAGCGCTACCTATTACATTATATAAGCGCTACCTAGTATGTTATTGTACTTTATAATATTTCCGGTTAAATAATATAACATAACCGGTCTAAATTTTAACCGGTCACTTGTTTAACCGGTCACGCCGTATATTAGCCGTTTTTTAGGCGCCGCACCGCAGAACGACCCAATATAAAGTCTATTTAAAGAAGGTAACCTATTTTTACAGGGATTATTTTTTATTATAGACGTGTATATGAAGATTACATATAAAGATTGTTTAATTATATATTTATTTATTTATATATGCATTGCATTTTATATTTATTTTTAACTTTCTGACTGCCGGAGGTCTTCCACGGAAGTTACTCTCAATCTAGCGTTGGGGACAGCCTACTATCGTACCTCCACTTATCCCATTGCATATGAAAATAGGATTTTATTGTTTGATGTTGTATTTTTAATTTACTTCAATAAGTTTAATTTTTTAGGACAAATTTGGTTTGATTAATGTTGTGAGAAAAATGAGTTTCTCATGCAAGGAATTAGGATGTTTAGTTTTTGATTTAAGATGAATGTTTTAATGTTCTATAAAATACGTTAAGAAATTTGATAATTTTTTAAAGATGCTTAAAAGACATGGTTAATGTCTTATGAAAAGACGTAATCTTATTAACTTACATGATGTTTGGAGAAGACGTTATGTCTTCTGGATATATTCTAAAAATCGTCGAAAATCGTTGAATTTTTCAGACGTCTTTCAAAAGTCATCCTTAAATAATAAAAATATAAGTATCTAAAAATACTATAAGACAAAATAATCACCCTAACATCTTATATAACAAAATAATTTCCCTAACATCTTATATGAAAAAATTATTTTTTTAAAGAGCTACAAATATATTTTATTAATTTTAAGTGTTAAATTTTTTTTTTGTTAAATTATGTGCTTGATGTTTTTTTCGTTAGTGTCTAAAAATTTATTTTGTTACCATTTTAAGATCATCCCATTAGCACAAGTAGGGATGGCAAACGGGCGGGTCGAGTGCGGATACCCCTTCCCCATCCTCATCCCCATACACACCTAATATTTTTCAATCTACCACCCGTCTGCCATTCATGATGGGTAAAAATTTTCAAATCCATACCCGCCCACGCGGGTACATTCTCAAATCCATCCTCATACCCTCTACCCACTGGAGACGTACCCAGCTAGAACCGCCAGACAACAAACTTAAGTTATACATAAACAAGAAACATAATACAATAAACCAATGATTATCTGAGTTAAGTGTTAATATAAATCTTAAAGTGCATAAAACATCATAATAAAAGGCATAATTAAAGTCTAGAAACATAAATGACAAACACATAATGTTTTTGTTCTTTGGCACAACATTCTAAAATTTCAAGCAATACTTGTGACATCTGATACTCCAGTATTACAATCATCATTCTCATAAAAGACCATAATAAAACACCAGTATTGCAAAATACTCGGTTGAAATTTAAATTTGAAAAGGTCAGTTTCAATTGAAACACTTAATTCTATTCAGTGGCGTTACAAATAGAGATTTGAGAAGCAATGATCTGACTCTGTTAGTCAAAAACGTGGGTGCTCAGTCACAAGATACTGATTTGTAGAACATTAAGAAATTAAGCTTAAAACAAACATTGAGATGAATCTAAAAAATATTTAAAAAATCAATACGAGCAAATAAAAATTAAACTCTTAAAACGAAATGCAGAGGAGCTTAAAACGAAATGACTACGGAAATGACTCTTACAAAAATTAAATTTTAAGTAAAAATGGAAGAAACATACCTGAATAAGCTGGAGAGTGAAGACAAGAGGTTTGAAAGAAAAAAAAATTATGCATAAATTTATCCCTAATATTTGGTTAAATTACAAGTTATATCTTATAAAATATTAGGATTTATAAATTAGTCTCTTAAAATTACACCTAAATTCATAATGGTTCAAAATTTAATGGATATTTAGTTGGGCGGGCGGATGTGGGACGGGTGGATGTGGTGCGGATGCGGGGCGGGGTGGGTAAGGTCTTCAAACTCATTACCCGCCCACTACCCGCGACGTGTACCACTTTCTAAATCCACACCCGCCCACTACCCACTAAAATTATACCTATCCCTGCCCCAATTGGAACGGGTGCGGTGCGGAATCAACGAAATTGTATCCGCTTGCCATCCCTAAGCACAAGTTAAAAAAATACACCATTCAATTATTGTTTTACATGAAACATTAATTTCTTAACAATTAATTTCTCAAAGATAAAAAACATAAAAATTCCGAAGGAAAAAAAATCTCCTCCAAATATCTAATCTTCTAATCCCTAAATCTTCAAATTATCTTAAACAATCAGAATTCAAGCAACAAGCGACAGTCGAAAGTTCGTGTAATGCCTAGCGTTTCCCAAATCATACAATGATTCAAGACGTAGTTTTGACACACACAATGAAAAGCATCAAATGATTCAAGACATATACTTCATTTCCCTCAATTGTCTCGTTCTTATCAAATTATCTAAATATGGTCACCATACGACATGCGATAACAAGAGAGACGATCGATCGATAGGAGTTTGATGATAACAGAAGTGATCGATGGTGGATGATTAGTAGTTGCATATAGACTTTAAAGATTATGGTTAGAGATTTTCCAGATTTTAGGATTCTTTTAGAAAATTAATGATTTTAGTTTCTTAATTAAAATAAAAACATAAAAAATATTACGTGTCAAACACCGATTGAATAACGATTTTCTTTAACGATTATTAATTGTTAGATACCTTAAATGATAACTTTGAAATGTTAGGCACCTAAATAAATAAATAAAACACTTTAGACACCTAAAATCAACAATAAATATAATTTGAACACTTATTTTTTAATTAAACTTGTTTTTATGATATTTTCTTATAAAAAAAATTTAATAATAAATTTAATTTCTATTATCTATTATTAAATTTATAATTTATATTTATTTATTTATTTTTAAGTTTGTTCAAGTTTGTCAATAACCTATTAATACTAAAAATTCCCCTTCCCCTCCCCTATGTTGAAATTATTAAAAAAATATTTGAATTTATCTCATATTCGCTAAGAATTTAAAGTTTTTATTCATGTCGTTTATTTAAAATTATATTTGTTTATATTTTTATTTAATATTTGTATATTTAATATCCACAAACATATTTATTAATACGTTCACACACATTAAATGAATACTAAATAAATATTTTCATAAATATATAATTTAATATGTTTGTAAACAATTAGAAAATTTTCATAAATAATAAAAAAACAATTATAAATGAATATTTATATATATATATATATAAATATAACAAAAATAAATAGTTTTAAGTATTACGAAGAAAGTATTGACTTTAAATAAATAAATTGATAAAAGTTAACAAATAAATTTATTAACGAATATAAATAAATTGAATATGTATTTATTTAAATTTATAGAAATTTTATATGTATTTATTTAACTATATAAATAAATAATATATAAATATCTAACTTGTGAAATATACTACCAGATCTACCCAATCACCCACCTGTTTACCATTTCACTTGCTTGCGTTCTAGAACACCCTCCGCCCCCCTCGTTTGGGAAAACAAATGCGTTAAAAGCATAGCAGGGAGCTACCGAGCGCTAGAGAGAAGAAATAAAGAGGGAAAATATTGACGCGCCTGTAAATATATATATATTAGAGAATATTCGTTTAAGTCAGGTTAGATCTCGAATATTCAAATTGTCGATTAGCGATGGCACAGCCTTTGGTGAAGAAAGACGATGATCGCGACGAGGAAGGTAAATTCAATTCTCATTCCCTTCGATTCATCTTCTGTCTGCTTTTTCACAGTTTTTATGTATCTTGTTTCTTACTCCGAATAGAATGTTTGTTTCGTATTTAATTAATCGTAAATCTTATGTTCGCGATTTTGTTAGATAAGCTGTTAGCTTCTAGATCTGTGCTCTTTTGATTCTTTTCAATTGATTTAGAGATGCATTGCGTGACTATAGGTTTCATTTCGAGGGATTACGCTATAGTTTTAGTGTAATGTTTTAGTTTCTCGGTTGATCTTATTTATTCTATCGGTATACTAGATTTTATCTTTTTGAAGGGGAAATGTAGCTTGTTAGTTTGGATGGATGCGTGTGATTTCAGTGGATATGACGTGGATCTCGAGGCTTTATGAATGCATTTTGTTCGATTTTTATTTGTAGTGTTGTTGAGTTCTTCTAGCTTTTTGGTGTTTGGAGAATGTTTTTTCTTATTGCACTTTTGTTTGTTAAACAGCGGATTACTCTCCATTTTTGGGGATTGAGAAGGGTGCTGTTCTTCAAGATGCTAGAGTTTTCAATGACCCTTAGCTTGATCCTCGAAGATGCTCTCAGGTTTCTTTTTTTAGTCTGTCTCGATTTTCTATTTTGTGTTTGATTTATCATTTTATAGAGGAATGCTTGTTTATAATTTTTTATGTAGGTTATCACAAAGCTTCTTTATCTACTGAACCAAGGAGAAGCATTCACTAAGGTTGGTCTTTCTTTTCTAATTGTACGGGAAAGGATCAAATCCATTTTTTTTGAAAAGGATCAAATCCATTTTTTTAAGTATGGATTTCATCTGTAGTTAAGTATGTATGGTGAAGGAAATGTGCTCTACCGTAATTAAAATTTCCCTTGTTGAATGACAATTTTCTTGTGTTATATGGATAGGTTGAAGCGACAGAGGTTTTCTTTGCTGTGACAAAGCTGTTCCAATCAAAGGATATAGGTTTGAGGAGAATGGTCTATGTGATGATAAAGGAGCTATCTCCATCAGCAGATGAGGTAATATGTGTTGAATTTTCCATGTTCGTTGAATAACTTTTTGTGCATTTGTGCATGCATGATTGTGTATTTAGGTACTAATTAATCCTTCCTTTTGTTGATAATAGGTTATTATTGTTACAAGCTCTCTCATGAAGGACATGACTAGCAAGACTGATATGTATCGAGCAAATGCAATTCGTGTTCTTTGTCGGATAACAGATGGAACTCTTCTAACCCAGATTGAACGATACTTGAAACAAGCAATTGTTGACAAAAACCCAGTTGTTGCAAGTGCAGCCTTAGTCAGTGGTATCCACTTACTGCAGGTAACAATTGTCTTAGGGTTGCTTTACACACACACATGCGCACACATAGTTTTTAAATTAATAACAAGACATCTATGATTTATTAACATGTCAAAAACATTTTGGCAGACAAACCCTGAGATTGTTAAAAGATGGAGTAATGAGGTTCAAGAAGCTGTTCAATCAAGAGCAGCCCTTGTGCAGTTTCATGCTCTAGCATTGCTCCACCAGGTATTGTATTCTTCAGACAAATTTTAGCACACTGTCGTTATCTTTTTACTGCAATTTAACTCATAGTGCAGCATGTAGATATTAAAATGTATGTGACAAAGGAAAGTATAGTAATTTCATGCAAATCCATGGTACTTTTTCATCCTTGCATGTCTGTCTATATGCATGGTTTGATTTGGGGCAATGCTCATTAAATTGATTCACATCTATGATGAATCTATGTGATTTCATACTTGCAGGTACGACAAAATGATCGACTAGCTGTTAATAAGCTGGTTAGTAGTTTGACTAGGGGAAGTGTGCGTTCACCTATAGCCCAATGCCTCTTGATACGTTATACCAGTCAGGTACTTCCCAACTCTGAAATATCTTTCCCTTCTGCTGACCTTTTTTGTTCATGAAAATTGTCAAGTAATTGTTGAGTCTGCAGGTCATTCGCGAGTCAGCCAATAACACCCAAACAGGGGATCGCCCTTTTTATGATTTTCTAGAGGGGTGTCTGCGCCACAAGGCTGAGATGGTGATTTTTGAGGCTGCTAGAGCAATCACGGAGCTCAATGGTGTGACAAGCCGAGAATTGACACCAGCAATCACAGTTCTTCAGCTTTTCTTAAGCTCTTTTAAGCCAGTGCTTAGATTTGCTGCAGTTCGTACGCTGAACAAGGTTTATTTATTTTCCTTAGCTAATTAATATATCTCTCTATTATTAGATCTATTGTTGGCTCAGAAGAAGCTCAGCAAAGCACTTTAGTCGGAGTGGCCTGGATAGTTTTATCTGCAAATTTCAGAAGTTCAAACATGCTTATGGAGCATGTTGAAAGCTTATGTGCATCCTGATTGTTTGACTTTGTGACTTATCTTCCTTTTAGGTTGCAATGACTCATCCGATGGCTGTCACAAACTGCAATATTGACATGGAGAGTTTGATTTCTGACCAAAATAGAAGCATTGCCACACTTGCAATCACTACCCTTCTCAAGACTGGAAATGAGTCAAGTGTGGATCGCCTGATGAAGCAGATAACTAATTTTATGTCTGATATTGCCGATGAATTTAAAATTGTTGTTGTGGAAGCTATAAGATCACTGTGCTTAAAGTTTCCATTGAAGCACAGATCTTTGTAAGTGACACTTGGCTTTGCATTATGGTTTAGTAGGCTTCAGTAAATGATTCTCTTCTAGTCCCTTAAAGTACTTTTTTATCCATTGTTATATTCAGGATGAATTTCTTAAGCAATATTCTAAGGGAAGAAGGTGGCTTTGAGTACAAAAAGGCCATTGTAGATTCAATTGTGATTCTAATCAGAGATATCCCTGAAGCAAAGGAGACTGGATTGCTTCATTTGTGTGAGTTCATTGAAGATTGTGAATTCACCTATCTTTCTACACAGGTAGCATTTTCATCCGTTATCTTGCATCACCTTTGTCATGTTCTGTTTTTATTTACTTTTTTTTTCCAGTTTTCTCCCATATTTGAGTTTCTGTTAATTGTCTTAACATTGTATTATAGATACTTCATTTCTTGGGGATTGAAGGCCCAAAAACCTCTGATCCAAGCAAATATATACGTTATATTTACAACCGCATGCATCTTGAGAATGCCACTGTTTGGGCTGGTGCAGTGAGCACCCTAGCAAAATTTGGTGCTATGGTTGATGGATTGAAGGTTTGAAATTTTAATGACTTTCATTTTTCTGGTGTAATCTCAACTTTTGACTCTTTCTCACATATTTAAGCCGGACAATCTTGCACTATCTCTTTCAGCCCCACGTATTTGTTCTCTTAAGACGCTGTCTCTTTGACACTGATGAGGTTAGTCTATCATGAATAGTTTTTGCTGTTTTTTTGCATTTTCTTTCACAATTGTATTAAATGCTGTAATATGTGTTATTGTCCGATCATTTGTTATTTATGTTAGTTGCATTTTTAATATGGTGTTTTTGGGAAGTCAAATGTGTTGCTCTCTCTCTCTCTCTCTCTGTGTGTGTGTGTGTGTGTGTGTGTGTTAATATTCAAATAATTTCATGTTCTACATCTTTTGTGTTGTAGGTTCGTGACAGGGCTACACTCTATCTTAATACACTCGGTGGTGATGGTGCTGTTGTTGAAACTGGTGCAGATGTAAAGGAGTTTCTCTTCGGTTCACTAGATATCCCTCTGATGAACTTAGAGAACAGTTTGAAAAATTATGTAAGTTTCTAAATTTCTGCGACAGTTTTGTCTTCCTTTCAGATCATATGATCTCATGTGTGTAAATTGGGTGCAGGAGCCATCAGAAAAGCCTTTTGACATTAGTTCCGTGCCAAAGGAGGTCAAGATCCAGCCACTTGCTGAGAAGAAAGCTCCAGGTAAAAAACCAACCGGTCTTGGTGCTCCTCCCCCTAGCCCGTCATCAACTGTTGATGCTTATGAGAAGCTTCTTTCATCAATTCCTGAGTTTGCAAACTTTGGCAAGCTTTTCAAGGTACGACCATTGACTTTGCCGTTTGTTCATTGCTTATAATACGTTTATTCCGATTTTGAACTTACCGATGCTTTGTGATTGGCCAGTCCTCTCCACCTGTGGAGCTGACAGAAGCAGAAACAGAATATGCAGTTAATGTTGTCAAACATATTTTTGATGGTCATGTTGTGTTTCAGTATAACTGTACCAATACCATACCGGAGCAGTTGTTGGAGAATGTAATGTTCAAATTACATGAGCATCTATATAAGTTACTTAAACATCTGATAGACTATTTTGATAACTTAATCTGCCTGTTACCAGGTCATCGTTATTGTGGATGCTTCAGAGGCTGAGGAATTTGCTGAAGTAGCTTCTAAGCCTTTAAGGTCGCTTCCATATGATTCACCTGGACAGACCTTTGTGGCATTTCAGAAGCCAGATGGGGTCCCAGCTGTTGGAAAGTTTTCAAACATGCTGAGGTTTATCGTAAAAGAGGTTTGTCTTCTCTTTTTTTCTCCGGAAGAATGTGTGCTTTTTGTTTATTGCTCCACTATTTGAATGTACGATTGCCAAGCCCCAGATTTAACTCGGTTCCGAATGGTAACAAATTTTTGCAAAGCCCGCACATCAAGTTTAAACTGGTTCTGAATGATAACATGTTTTGCAAATCTCATTTATATTCCCTCCTCTCTCTCTCTCTCTCTCTCTCTCACCTTGCATTGAGGAATTTCCGTAATGGACAGAACATTTTGGGTTGTTTTCCTATATCTCATGCTTGCAATGGTTCCGCTTGGTTGATCCAAGTACTGGTGTGGCTGAGGACGATGGAGTTGAGGATGAGTACCAACTGGAGGACCTTGAAGTTGTCGCAGCTGATTATATGTTGAAGGTGGGCGTCTCTAATTTCAGGAATGCATGGGAAAGCATGGGCGCAGACTTCGAACGTGTAGATGAATATGGCCTTGGCCCTAGGGATAGCCTAGCTGAAGCCGTCAATGCTGTCGTTGATCTTCTTGGCATGCAACCCTGTGAGGTAAGTACCGGTTTGATTCTTTTGTCCCAGTTTTTGCTTTATAATGATTATGTTTTATCTTTTGGTGTTCAGGGCACAGAGGTTGTCTCTCCAAATTCAAGGTCACACACTTGTCTTCTATCCGGAGTGTACATAGGCAATGTGAAGGTGCTTGTACGACTGCAATTCGGACTCGATGGACCAAAGGACGTGGCCATGAAACTCGCTGTTAGGTCCGAGGATGAAACTGTTAGTGATGCCATTCACGAGATTGTAGCCAGCGGCTAGTTTTGTCGTTTTTTCTCTTTTTTTGGGGTGATTTTGTATTGTGCTCCGAAGTCGAATAATTGTAGAGAGATTGCATGCGATTGATTCTGGGTTTTTGGGTTACATTTTAAGCTACCAATAATACCCTGTACCATGCAAATCAAGCCCATAGGAAGGATTTTTGTTTTTATTATTATGTTTTAATTTTTTACAAATTTCTTATGTGGGGTTCAATTGTAGAGGATCAATATTTTGCTTTATTTAGAGGTCGATTAATTAATTGAATAAACAAAATTTTAATATATAATTAATATATTTCTAATTTTAAGTCAATATCTTATCAGTGATTCATGATATCTAAAATCTAATATTTATATTTTAATTCCATAATTAAGTCCAACCCAAAAGAAGAAAAAAAACAAAGACTAGTAATAAAAGATATCCAATAAAAGAAACTCATTTTCAATTTATTACTACTTGAATTGTTATTTTTAATCAAAACTAAAAAAAACTAAAAAAAAACAAAAAAATTGGATAGTTTAAAAACCAACAGAACTTAACTCGATTTAATTAATGATATTTTATAAAATTTTGGTTCAATTAATGGTTAAAAACTTTAAGAATTTGGTTCTGTTAATAACCGACCCCGACTATTTGAAAACCCCTAGAAATCAGTATATATATATACCAAATTTAAAATAGTTTGTGGGATCACTTGTAACCTTTTTAGGAATAGGGATGGAAAAGGTCCAAAATCTCTCTCTATGCGCTAATCAAATTGGGGTTTTAGACATGGAAGTTTGTTTACAAGCAACAGTACAAAGATTAGGGGTTCCTAAACCATGGACATGACTGAAATACAAAGGATTAGGATTCATGTAGGATACTGCAAGTAGGGTGAACCTGAGACGGAGAGTACTCGGCAATATCGAATCGGTTTCCCGTCTTACAAATCAAATCACCCTCCTATGCCCTCCAAATGCCCAAATCTGCCATTACAAGATCCATTCCACGTTAAAAACAAATTCTGAATTCTCATTTTACCAATTCATACCAGTCCATACTCGAAAACGCAAGTGATAAAAGAAACAACAGACTAACCTTGAGATTTGTATCCGAACTTCCTGTACATAAGGCACTACCATCGGCCGATAAACCCAAACAGGTAATCCGTCCCTCGTGCGAGTTCTGGACGGATCCCAGATTCAAAACAACCTGACAAAACAGATAAAGTAAATAAATAAATAAAACGGTGCCTGCTATATGTCAAACCCAATCAGCTGTAAACAATTAAAGCTAGTGCATAATTGCAAGTAGTTCATACTAAACATCTATGTTAACAATGCAAAAGGCGAAACCATATCGAGGCTATGCCGATACGATTCAGACGAACGTCAAAACCAACAAAAGTGGAGAAGTGTCATCTTGAAAAGAAAATACCGGGAATCATATAAAGGGATCGAAAGATGAAGAAAGTGAGACAAATAGGGGTGGATCGAGGTTAAGTTATTACCTTAGCCAATAATGTGTCCCATACATAGCAATCCCCATTTGAGTATCCAGCAAAGAGAAGTCTTCCAGAAATGGAGAATGCAATGGAGGTCACATGTGGAACCTCGTTATCACCATGCTGTTGATAGTATACTTGCAATTGGTGACCAGTTCTTATGTCAAACAACCTGCAAGTTCCGTCATCCGATCCTGTTCCAAATCTATTGCCATCTGGAAAGAATTTCACGGTGTTAACATCACCCTCGTGACCATGAAACGTACGCACCGCTCGACTTGCCACGCGTGAATCCCACAATCGGGCAGTTGCATCACATGAACCAGAGACAAACATTCTTGAGTTTGATCCATTAATCGAGACACTGAAAGAATAAAAAAAGGTATAGAAGAGAACTTATTATCTTTCATCAGAAGTTTCTATGAGCATGAATATCACTGGTCATAGGGTCCACCATACCAATAAAACGAGAACAAACCAATCAGATACCGGAAAATGAACTTTTGCTATAGTTAAGCTGATAACCATATAAGATCGAACGAAGAGAACAAAAACGAAAAAAGTAAGATACCTTAGCACATCAGCAGTATGTCCTGATTGAAATTCTCCCCCAAAAACAGAAGTACGGAGGCCAGTCGTAATATCCCATAGAACACAAGTCTGATCACCCGAACTGGTAATAATATGAATGTCTTCATCAGGAACATACTGACAGCATGAGACATAACCCTTATGCCCACTAAGGGTTTTCGATACAGGTAGGTTTCCATCCCTGTCGGTCTGAGAATTCAAGTTGAAAATAGAGCACATACTATCGAGACCCCCACAGGCAACCGACTGACCGGCTGGAGAAAAAGCACACGTCATGACCCATGCACAAGGCAGCTTTATGGCATGTGTTTTCTGGCTTGTTAGGGCGTTCCACACAATCAAGCGTCCATCTTGAGAAGCGCTAACGATTCGGTTCCTTTCCGGAGTCCAATCCAAAGAGTATACCTGCATAGTTCATATACATTAAGTTCAAATACACAACTTCATTGATAGCCATCGGCACGAAAACAAGTGATCTACAAATGAATCATAATTAATTTGATTTTCTTTCCTTCCTATCATCATGCAGAATTCTAAAACTATCCAAATGACATTAGAAAAATGCAGTAAAAAAAGAAGTCAAAGGTTGCTTCAGGGGATCTCATCAAAGCAGAAAATTTTACTTTCTTCAAGCTTAAAAAACAATCAGAACACTAGAAAATTGCAGGAAAAGAAGAAAATTTTAACCAAATTAGCACATTTTAACTTTCTTAAAGCTTAAAAAACAATCATCAAACAAAAAATTTGCAATAAATAGGCTAAAAAAATTTACCTTGCCGGTGTGACCTTGCAAGGTTCTGCAACAAAGTAGATCGGTTGGGCCAAAAGTGAGTGGACTTTTTCCTTGAGATCTTGCATATCCGGCAACTACACATAATTTTCCCAATACCAAAACAGATCTTAGAATCTAAATAATTTATAACAACCCAAAAATGGAAAAAAAATTGATTTTTTTACCATCAGTGTCGAGCAACTGCTGGCGTCTCTGCTTTAATCGTTCTCTCAGATTATTCACAGTCTCTGTCGCCGCCGCGTGCTTCTCTTTCAGCTCTGCAACAGACATTTTTTTTACCCTTTTTTTTCTCCTTCGAAAACTTTTTAAATCAAAAGGGAAACATTGTTCTCTCAACTCTTTATCTATGGATCCATAATTGAAAAACAAAAAGGAAATAAAAAAACCCAGAAAAAGGAAGGGTTTTTATTAGTGAAACTGATGATTGATTGTTGTAAGATTCTGAAAGAGAGAGAAAGGGTGAGTTTATGGCTGGTGGTGGTGGATGGGTAGGTGTTTCGATTGTGTTTTGACTTCGCCGCCAGGCCCAACCACTCTTCCACGTGGATGTCCGCTGCACCTTCTTTTACACCGTTAACAAGGTTAAAATTCTCTTAATTCTTTTTTGACTTAATATAGAATAAAAATTGTTCAAACTATATTTTTTTTTTCCATTTCATTTAGGCACTATTTTTTTATTAATAAAATGTTTAACGTTTTCGATATTATCAATCAGGTGTCTGATCTATGACAGTCATAAAAAAATTGTCAATTATTCAAAATGTGACGTGATAATTTTTTATTTTTTTATTTTTTTAAAAAAAATTAAAATTATTATTTTTAAAATACCCTAAAATATTTCTAAAATCTCAAATAAATCCCAAAATTCTTAATCTTAAAGTATCCATCTCACTCGTTGGTCGACTATTGTTGTTGCCATTTCCATCATCGGTCGTCAATTGTGACTTCAAACCCTCAAAATCTCTAAACCTAAATCCAAACCTTAAATCTCTAAATTCTAACACTCGTCTATGCCAATGGGTGGGTGAGTGGTGGCAGGTTGATAACTTATAGGTGAGTGGTGGCGGGATGATAACTGATAGGTGAGTGGATGATCACCGACGGTAATAGTGGTAAGCACCATAATTGAATGTATTGAAATATTTTATGAAAAATAGAAAAATTTAAGTTTTATCTTTTTGAAATTTATGTTTATTTTTTAAAAAATTAAAAGAAAATAAAAAAAAATCAGTCACGTGTAAAATATTGATTGTTGACTTATTTTTCATGAATTTTTAACGACCGTTACGACATAGACACCTAAATGATAATATTGAAAACGTTAGATATCTAAATTCACCAAAAAATAATTTAAGCACCTAAATAAGAAAAAAAATATAATTTAGACACTTTTTTATATTAAATTTTTTCTCTGTTAAAAAGGAAACAAAAGCCATGGCTGAGAGGTAGAAGTTTGATTTCAATGCATTATATCATCCTAATAATAATACTAATACTATTGGTTAGAATGGCTGCTAATGGGAAGAATATTTAATTTGAATTTGACATTTTGATTTAATTTAATTTATAAAATTAGATTAAAAAATTAAATTCGAATCAAATTGAATTTAATAACAAAGACAGATCAAATTGGAGTTCATGATGAAAAATACATGACTTGATTCGAGAATAATATTTTAATCATAATACAATATTCAATAATAGAATATGATCAAAATCAACAGACGAATTGACATAAATCTAGAGAATTTAGGCATTAAAAATGCCAAAGTCGTTGACCATAATATAATACATTTTACACATAACTGGATGCATGAAAACATGGTACATAAGACATGCATGAAGCAAAGGGTGACCCCATTTTCTTAACCACTTAAGTTCTTCAATATCCCAACCCTAACTTTATTAGATAAAATAATTTAAAAGGAGAAGAACTTTACAGTTAAAAGTGTTCCCATTTATGTGACTTCTTTTATTCAAGTGCTCCCACCTGGGTAGATGCAATTACTGTAACCTGCAATTAAAGGAAATAGAGTTGCGTGTATGAGAGAAAGGAGTGTATACTGTGTTACGTTACTATATTACTCGGATTCGGGTGAGTCAGATATTATATTCGTATCGTGTACGACTGAGTTTTGTGTAAAAGACAGATACTATAGATTTGAGATGTCAATGGAGTGAAGATATTTACTAGGATTTTGGGATGTTAGTGTTGCCGTCTGTGAGAAATCACAATTCCATGGATTCTTGGCAGAAGACTGGTAGTAAAGGTTCATGGCGTAAGCAGCGTGTGATGCTACCGTATTCGGTTCGAAACAGGCACCTCCTGGTTGTATCTGACCGCAGTCGATGCCTTGGCTGCAGGCATAATCTAGACTTGACTGCAATTGAGCATCAGAAACACCAGCTTTTGGCATGCACCAGCCAGCTGCTGTCGGTTTTGGTTGGGGAGTCACCGGAGTTGTAGGGGTCGATGGAGTCTGGAACATAGGGAAAATTATGGAAGAATGTCACTTACCACAGTAGCCACTACAATGGATTATGCAGTTCAAAAGGTTAAGAAATATCTCACCTGACTACTCTTCGAAATGCCGATATCATATGTCATGGAAAGGTCAGGCTTGAAAAGTCCGAATGCACGTTCGGAACCAGGACCCGGTTTCAGGTCTTCATCATAGAGAGCAAAGAGGTAAGTATCCACAGATTTTCCAGGCATCAATGGAGTCCCAACCATTGATCTCAAATGTGCAATCAAATTCCCGTTGTAGGCTTTTGCGTTCTCGACACTAGTTCCGACTTCGTTACTGTCACCGCTATACGGCCATCCTGTCTCGGCAACCATAATCTCGACATCCTTGAACCCCATAGCACCCAGAGCAGAATGCACGGCATCAACCTGCAGAATCATAATCAAAAGTATGGAGCTAAATTTAGAATTATTGCAATGGCCAGCCTGTAACCAAGCACAATAAGTCAAATCAACTACACTTACGGCCTACAATTATTTCATGCAAAGGCCCCAGAAAAATGCCTATAATTTCACATGATGGAGATTGAATTGCTAAATTTTTAGGGTACGCAAAGAGCAAATCCACCGTATTATTAACTAAACATTTTACAATTTTGAACCAAAAGAGTACCATTTTAAAGAATAAAATTTCTACAATTTTGGGATCAAAATAACACTTTTACCAACCCCTGGTGCCACCCCATAACATGATACTTGGCAGATTGTAACAAATAATGAATTTAATCAAACTTTGGAACAAAAACACCTCATTTGTATTTTAGTGATATATGGAATAAGAAACAAAAAAACACCTCATCAAAACCATGGAAAAGACAAGACAGAATGAACAATCATCTACGTTATTTTAAGAGTAATTAATCGACTATACATGATTAAGGGTGTCAGTGTCACCAGCTATTTCCTAAAGGAAATGCACTGAGATAAACCTTGCATCTAACCACATTTTCTAATATCAATATCATTGTAGGGATGGACATGGGAGCGGCTAGATACATTTGTCACCTTTCAAAATTTTAAATTATTATATATTTTCTATTGGTAATTTATTTTTTTCTTAAAATTTTATAAATTCGTCATCTCTTAAATTATAAAAGTTTGTTTCTACTGACATAAAATCTTGTATTCGTCACTAATAATAACATCCTGATTTGAAAAGAAAAAGAAGTAGGATTAGGCAAAGAAAGAACAATAAAATTGCGGATTTTAGTCTAAAATAATAATAATAATTCGTGCAATCTAATCCCTAAACATCCTACGTCAATGTCATGGACCAGTGGCTAAAATTAAAGTAGTCCCCACGTTCATTCCATACTGTCATTGTTGTTGGTTGACTCGGATCCCACTTTTAAACTGGGTTCGATCCAAAAACAAAGCACAGCTCAGCCCATTACAGAAAAAAAAAGGTTAAAATTTGTTCACACGTGATGAGAATGACAAAATTCCACCGACAATTACATATTTACTAGAAAAAAAATAATCTTTTGAAACATTCATTCGTGTGTGTATTTATCGAATATCAAGTTTTTATTTACTTTCATTAATATTTTTTTAAAATATGTGAAACGGAATAATTGATAAGATGTTGAAACTAATTTGAGGATTAATTAAGAAACCGAGTAATGGTGTTTTAACTAACCTGAGCGTCAAACATGTTCATGTACATGATGCCGTTTCCCGAGTCAACTCGTCCCGCGTTGGGTTGAAACAAGCAAAAAGCAAGCGTTTCAGGTCTGGAGTCACTTTCGTAAGCGAAAAATGGGTAAGGATTAATGGCAAAAGGGGATCCATTGTCCCTATGGAACTGAAGCAAGCCTTTCAATGCCGGTTGATAACTCGGGCTAAACGAACCGGAAGAGGGCGGGTCGGATTGACTCAATACCGCCATTGAGTGAACAGTTGAGACCTTTATCTTACCACCGAGTTTCGCCCCGTTAATGGCGTTTTGCATATTTTGCAGTGCCGGTAGCAGTTGGTTTATCAAGTTCGGGTCATTTGTAGTCAAAACCTGGTAAAATAATAATAACATTTATGAATTGGAAAAAAAAAACTAAAATTTGCTTTAATTTGATTATAATAAGAATATTAAAATCGAATCAAAACACAACCAAATTCTATTAATTCCAGCTTCTTTTCAACTGCAAAAGCTCACTTTTACTAAAATTTAAGAATATTTGGAACCTTTTTTTTTTTCAAAAATGAAAAGGGAGTGTAAAGGGCGAAAGGCAATTTGTGGAAAGTGACCTCGTTGCCAACAGTGATGAGAATGATGTTGCTAGCAGGGTAAAAAGGCAAAACGTTCGAGTTAATCCACTGAGAAGCTGAGTTGGGATCGGAGGCCAAAGCTGGAATATCTCCATTCGCAGCTCCGATAACGATTCCAATTCCGGTGTTAGCTAGAGCTTTGATGATGGCCGGATCCGCACCGTACAGCCTGACTTTCTCTATTGACGTGGATTGCAGAAGCTTTGCGGTGGCTGACGGCGGAGGTAAGTTGTCTGCTACCTGGCCGTAGTTCACTCCTATAAACGGCTCAGCACCTATTTTTGAAAGAAAAAAAAAAGACAAATTTATTAATTGGAAATTGAAAGTTCAGTAACTGAAGGTGATGCTGCTTCTTGGTGAAGTGAAAAGGAAAGCGGTGCCGTTTTGGGAGTAAGAAACTTACTTGAGAAGTGAATGCAGAGGAGGAGGAGGTAGAAGAAAAGGATTAAAGTCGCCATTAAAGAGACGGAGAGAGACGGAGAG